CCAGATCATGAGGTCATGGACATATTAAAGCCAATTATGAAATCCAATAGGAAAATCCAAAATTTTTCCCAGAGTCATTAAAGTTTGAAATTCTACTCATATTTGACACCAGTAGGGATATGTACAAAGGGCAAAAGAAATAGAAACCTATGCTGAACAAAGGAGTGGGAAGAGGTTCATCTGAAACATAAATATCAGCATGGATCTCGGTAGAATGGTCTTTCTGTGCTGTAGGCACGATACTGTACCTAACCTTCACTCAGCCCCTGACACAGCAAACATGTAGAATCACAATCATTTCCAGCACAGAAAGAGGCCATAGATTCTACGCTGGCCCTCTATGGAATGATCTAGTAAATCCCACTCCTCTTCTTGTTCCCTTTCACCGCTATCCCCTCCTCCATAGATTTACTTCCTTCAAATGTCTATCCAATTTCCTTTTGAAATCATGGATTATTTCCGCTTCCACTGCCTTCATGGGCAGTGAGTTCCATGGACACATGGAGCCAAGGGAGAGAGCCAGCAAGTTGCCCTTTATATCAAGGTGCAATTCAACTGGGTTTGGCTCCAAATCAAAATGTTCATAAATAATATTTGAACTTCTGTCTTCATTGCAAATATAGAAGCTTCCTTGGTAATGCATGAGGCACACACTTACATCTGTTCCCTTAGCCTGGATTTTGAGAACAGGTTCAGCATACAAGTCTTACCTAGGGGCACCACTTCACATGAAGCATGGCTGACCACATGGTCTCTCCCATTGTTACCCCGTGAAATTGGTGCATAGAAAGGATTTGCAGGTTGATAATCAATCTGTTTGGCCACATTATGAACACACTGTGGCAGTCTTGTCCAGTCAAGGCACTCAGAGCAGGGGCTCTACCCACTGCACAACAAAATTTCTCTTCATAACTCAAAAGATGCTCAGATAACCATTCCTTCACTTGGCCTGTGTGCAAGTGCTCTGGTTTGCTCCTTCTCTCTCTTTCTCACTCACTTCCTATCCTTCAACCATCTCTACAGTTTACCACAACCTCTCAAATGGAGCAGGAACTGGTGCATTGATTGTGTCTCATTTACTGCAATAGCAGAGTTCCTTGCTCCCACTACCAGCAGTCTATTGAGGAAGTGATACAGCTCAGTTCTGGTTAGCCACAGTGCGATAGTGAATTCATTTCATAACCAAGGTCAGTCATTTTCTATAAAGGTTGTTATTTCTGCATGGAACTCAAACTGTGGTGAATAGCTAACAAATTCTTAATGACTTAAACCTTCAAATTGCACAACTGTGTTAAATGCAGGAGCTGTAGCCACATACAGAATCTCAACAAGAAAATGTTTGTGAGCTTCATCAGCCCCTTCTGTACTTTCCATAATCTTATAAGAATTTATAAAATTGATAAAATTCTATTTCAAGAATGCATGAATCTCAATAATTAAACAGGGAGTCTGCCAAAGAGGGAGAGGTAATTGTCACGTAAGAGTATTGAGATGTCATTTGCTGATAAAATGGATCAAGTTGTGGAAAATGATGAAACTCCTCACTGTTCCACAGCAGCATCTGGCCATTCACCTGGGAGACACATGGGCTTGTGTCACCCTGTTAGAAATGTTCTTTCCCCTTGCTACTGACCTTTGCCAGTTGCCAGGGTTTCAAAGCAGCCTCATCCTGTGGACACTGTCTACTGGAGATCTGGAGTTCATACCCCAGCCTGGTCCAGCAGCCAATGCTGTAAGATGTTTGGAAGGCCCTTCAGCTTACTGATCTGACAGAGAATGTAGTAGCCTCTGCATCTTCATCCTGTTGGGATCAAATTGCTCCTTGCCTGAACTCCAAACATCTTTCCAGCACATCTTAAACCATCCCTTGCTTCAGCACCATTCGGTCAAAATCCTGGAATTCCCTTCTTCACAGTATTGTAAGTCTACACACCAAATGGATTGCAGCAGTTCAAGAAGGCAGCTCACCATCACCACCTCAAAGGCAAGTAGGAACGGTCAATAAGTACTGGCAGAGTCAGCAAAGCCCACAGCTCGTGAATGAACAACAAATAAACTCAACTGTCTCAGTGTAGTGACTGAAAAACATTTAAATCCAAATGTACTGCCATCCACGGGCCTCCTCTGTTACCCATTGCTTTTCTTTCCAAATCAAAGGGGTTTTGATAATTCAGAACCCATCCAATTATGGAACAAGCAAAGACTGCAGTCTCAAAATGTTCAAAAGACAAATGCCCTCCTCCTGCCCTGTTGGAGTCTCTCCGGGGTTTTGGGTTGGAGTGAGTAGATAGTAAGGAGATGTTACCATCTCCCTGGTGCTTTGAAGCAAAAACCTAGAGTCAATTACAGGATCTGATTCTGCACTAAATAATGCAGGACACGCTGGAGGTGCATCAGTCGGTGATGCAATGATGTAGATGAGAGCAGCATCATTTGAAGACCAGGCTCCATCGGTAGAACAGCTAGGACCCACCAGCACCATTGAGGACCATCCGGAGAGGCCTGAAACCCAACAAGTACAACAATAGGTTAGTTTTGTTGACACAAACCACCCACAAGAAGGCCTCCATTATTAAGCTCATTCTCATCACATCTCTTCAAGGGAAGGCAATGGCCTAGTGGTATTATCATAAGACTATCAATCCAGAAACTCAGCTAACGCTCTGGGGACCCAAGTTTGAATCTCACCATGGCAGATGGTGGAATTTGAATTCAATTTTGAAAAGAAACAAATCTAGAATTAAGAATCTACTGATGACCATGAATCCAGCATAGATTGTCAAAACATCCCATTTGGCTCACTAATGTCCTTCAGGAAAGAAATCTGCCATCCTTACCTGGTCTGGCCTACATGTAACTCCAGACTCACAGCAATGTAGTTGACTCTTAACTGCCCTCTGAAATGGCCTAGGAAAGACAGCTAGGGAAGAGCAAAAAAAGCTGCAGCACGGAGGTGTTATAACCTTTGATTGCACTGTTTGATTCCACATTACTCATTACTACGGAAGCTCTAAGGTGGATGGAAGTGAATCCTAATATGATTTGGTTGTAAACTGGAGCGGTGAGACCCTATCACAACTCTTGAGAGCCGTTTCTGGTCTTTCCATTGCCCCTACTCATCCCCACAGACTTCAATATCTACCCAGACTGAATGCACCCTCCCTTCAACATTCAATATCCAGGAACAAAAGCAGATTTACTCTGCTACAATGATTCAATGGAACGATATCTAAAGAACATTTCTCAAAATCTCACTGTTCTGTTCATGATCTGGGAATACTTAATGTCAATATCTGAAACAGGAAGTGCAGTATTCTAGCAGAAATATCTCACTGAGTGAGAAACAAGTGTCCACAAACCAATAGTGAAAATTCTACTGCTATTTGAAAATAGGGAAATAAATTAAAATGGCACCATGAGCCACACCACAAATTGTTAAGTTGACCCACCCCCACTGCTCTCAGTAATAGTTGTACACAAGCTAAAGTGAGTGTCTGATGTAAACTGGGCACCATAAGTTCTCCCTTCACCTGTACATTTTCTTCCTGGTCTGGAATGGGTCCATGCTGACTGTGTATCTGTCCCTGGAGAATGCTCGGCAGATGGTCAAACCAGTTCCGAGCTTGTTCATAGACACGACTGTGCAAGATGCAGAGGTCAGTCAGTTGGATCCCATCAACCTACAGAAAGAAAGAACAGAACTCAGAAAAGGCCATCAACTCAAATTCTCAGCCTGAGCTATCCTCAAAACCCCAATCGCTGACTCAACTCACTAAGATTTCAATAAAACAAAGTGTTATCAATCTTCTTGTCAGTTAAGTTAAAACAAAAATCAGGATTACTTGTCTTCACATTTCATGTGACCCAAAGCCTAAAAAGCAATTAATGATCTCAACCAGAGTTTACCAAACAGCAATTAGACTCTGTAGCCCTAAAGTAATAAAGCTGCCTCTTGCTGGCATAACATGACTCATTGTAAATTCTGTTTTTATAAACAGCCAACTCGTTTGTTTTTAAAAGTTTGCCAACTTTATCTTTTGTTTCCAAATTCTCAGCTTCCTTATTTGATCTCGTTTCATAAGAAGCTATATTCAAATTCATTCACTATTCCCACCAATTACATTAAACTGTTCTTCTTTGCTCTAACTTATCTTCAGTGAGAAGAATTAATCATTGACAAGTTGAAATGTAGGTCAGATCTAGTTAAAATAATGCAAAAGAAAAAGAAAACGCAAATTTCTAGCCTGCACCATCCTTTCTACTACACTGCCCCGCCCACCATCTCCCATTATTGACATGGGGCAGCACAGTCACTCGGTGGTTAGCACTGCTGCTTCACAGTGCCAGGGACCTGCGTTCAATTCCACCCTCGGACGACTTTCTTGCTATGTCTGCGTGGGTTTCCTCTGGGTGCTCCAGTTTCCTCCCACAGTCCAAAAGATGTGCAGGTTAGGTGGATTGGCCATGCTAAATTGCTCATAATGTTCAGGGATGTGCAGGCGAGGTGGGTTAGTCACGAGAAATGCAGGATTACAGAGATTGGTGGTAGGTCTGGGTGGGATGCTCTTCCGAGGGTCAGTGTGGACTTGATGGGCCAAACAGCCTGCTTCCACATTGTAAGGATTCTATAATGATGATTTCTGCTGGAAAATACACAGTTTGATTACCACCCCAGTCACAATTTCTCATTTCTGTCCTCAATACCACCAAAATGTTGATCTTTCTTCAACAGCATGAGCTCCACAATGGAGGACAAGGAGAGCTGTTGCATTAATACATTAGGTCATTTCAGATTGGTTCCATATGTTTGGCCATTCCTCACAGTAAGCACTTTCCACCAGCTGCATGGTCTGAAATTTTCATTCTGTTCCCCTTTCTGTGACATCCATGCAGCCTCTACATGGTGAGAATTGACCCTGCAGCTTGCTATGACGTGGTTGCCCCTTTACAGGAGGCGATGGCCTAGTGGTATTATCACTGGACTGTCAGTCCAGAGACCCAGATTCCAATCCTATCATGGCTAACGACAGAATTTCAATTCAATAAAAAGAAATCTGGAATTAAGAGTCTAATGATGACCACAAATCCATTGTCAAATGTCAGGAAAAACCCATCTGTTCATTAATGTGCCATTCTTACCTGGTCTGACCTACACGTGACTCCAGACCCACAGCAATGTGATTGACTCTTAACTGCCCTCTGGGCAATTAGGGATGGGCAATAAATGCTGTCTGGCCAGTGATGCCCTCATCCCATAAATGAATAAAGAAAAAAAAATGGTGCACACTTACTTGCTTGTCCTCCAAGTATTCGACATCAGCTGTGTTATACCCATCTCTATCACCTCTTCTCAACACCTTAAAGCGACGCCCTCCAACTGTGTTGACCAGAGACCGACCATCTGGGAGATTTTCACTTTCTTCAATCTTCAGCATACAGCCATAATCTGCAAAACTGAGGGCCAAACAGTGAGTTTAAGATCTAAATGCAAAACTAGAGCAAACAGTCAAATGATAAAATTAAAGTGTAGTACAGGAAACTCATAGCAGTTCAACAAACAATAAAACAGACTGTAAATATTAATTCAATGTCTCTGCCATTTTCTCATTCCTCATCATAATTCCTTTTACTGCCTTTAAAGGACAAGTATTTACTTTAGCTACTGTCTTCCCTTTTATGTACTTGTAGAGGCTCTTACAACCTGATTTTATATTCATGACTAGTTTACTCTTGTATTCTTTTTTCCATTTTATCAACTTTTTGGTGGCCATTTCTGTTTTCCAACACACTCTCAATCATCAGAGTTTCCACTGCTCTTTACAGTATTACAAGCCTCTTCTGTTAATCCATTACTATCATTAGCTTCCTGAGTGAGCAAGAAAATCCATTTGAATTGTATCTTTAACTGTTTCCTGCTGTTTATTTACCACTATATCTTTCAGTCTATTTATCCAAACAATCTTAGCTAATTCTCCCCCCGTACATATGTAATTGGCTTCAAGACTTGTTTGTGATTGGCCTATGTCACTTTCAAACTTAAAATGGAATTCAATAGCATTAGAATCACAAACGCCCAGCGAATCTGATTAATTTACCCTGCATCATGGCACAACACCAGATCTAAAATAGCTTTATACCAAGTTGGTTCCACATTTCAGGAAACTGTTGCATAAACATTGGACAAATTTAACTTTTATGCCACCCTTGCCAATTTGTTCAGTCTATTCCATACAAAGATTAAAATCACCCACAACTATTACATTGCCTTTAATATACTCCTATAAATTCCTGTTTAATGCTTTATATAAAGGTATAACTACAGTTGGTAGGTCTATAAACTACTTTTACCAGCACTTTTTGGCTCTTGCTATTTTTAGTCTTGTTACTGACTTTCTCAGCCAAGATCCTTTCTCGTGAATGTCATCCTTTTCTATCAGGCCTGTACCTCCTCCTTTGCCAAAATCTTATTTTTTTCCCTAATACATTGTGTACCTTTTGACTCCTCGACTTTGGTCACGATGTCTCTGTAATGGTGATTAGATCTAAACTATTTATCTCAACATGTCCTACTGGTATGTTCTGCTGAGATACAGAAAAAGAGCTATGATTGTTTGCAGAGCAAAGAAGGCAAAGGAATGTTTTGACACTGACATTTCAAATCTTGCATGATTGGTATGAAGTAAACAAAGGAAAATAATTTTCCCTGGCTGAGCAGTTGAGAACCAGAGGGCACAGATTTCAGGTGACTGGCAAAATGAACACGGGCAATATTAGATAACAAGGTGTAGAGCTGGATGAACACAGCAGGCCAAGCAGCATCAGAGGAGCAGGAAGGCTGACGTTTCGGGCCTAGAACCTTCTTCAGAAATGGGGGAGGGGAAGGGGATTCTGAAATAAATAGAGAGAGAGGGGGGGAGGCGGATGGAAGATGGATAAAGGAGCAGATAGATGGAGAGGAGATGGACAGGTCAACGAGGCGGGGATGGAGCCAGTAAAGGTGAGTGTAGGTGGGGAGTTAGGGTGGAAGTTGGTCAGTCCAGGGAAGACGGACAGGTCAAGGAGGCGGGGATGAGGCTGGTAGGTAGGAGGTGGGGGTGGGGGTTGAGGTGGGAGGAGTGGATAGGTGGGAGAAAGGACGGACAGGTTAGGGAAGCGGGGACGAGCTGGGCTGCTTTTGGGATGCAGTCGGGGGAGGGGAGATTTTGAAGCTTGTGAAGTCCACATTGATACCATTGGGCTGCAGGGGTCCCAAGCAAAATATGAGGTGCTGTTCCTGCAACCGTCGGATAGCATCGTTGTGGCACTGCAGGAGGCCCAGGATGGACATGTCGTCCAAGGAGTGGGAGGGGGAGTTGAAGTGGTTCGCGACTGGGAGGTGCAGTTGTTTGTCGCGAACAGAGAGTAGGCGCTCCACAAAGTGGTCCCCAAGGCTCCGCTTGGTTTCCCCGATGTAGAAGAGGCCACATCAGGAACAGCGGATACAGTATACCACATTAGCAGATGTGCGGGTAAACATCTGTTTGATGTGGAAGGTTTTCTTGGGGCCTGGGATGGGAGTGAGGGGGGAGGTGTAGGGGCAGGTGTAGCACTTCCTGCAGTTGCAAGGAAAAGTGCCAGGGGTGGTGGGGAGTGTGGACCGGACAAGGGATTCACAGAGAGAGTGGTCCCTCTGGAAGGCAGATAAGGGTGAGGAGGGAAAAATGTCTTTGGGAGTGGGGTCAGATTGCAGGTGGAAGTGTCGGAGGATGATGCGTTGGATCCGGAGGTTGGTGGGATGGTACGTGACGATGAGGGGGATTCTGTTTTGGTTGTTATTGCGGGGAGGGTGTGTGAGGGATGAGTTGCGGGAAGACGCGGTCGAGGGCATTTTCGATCACTGTGGAGGGTAAGTTGCGGTCCTTGAAAAACGAGGACATCTTGGATGTCCGGGAGTGGAATGCCTCATCTCGGGA